AAGACGCTCCACCAGCTTTGATTCTGGAGGAAATCCTCTCTTGGATCCTCTGCAGCTGCTGCTCATCAGTTTGTTAATTTATTTACTTGAATCTCTTGTTCCACCACCAGGCATCGAATCCAAAAGCGTTTTTTTTCCCCCCACAGCACAGCACCTGTTTTATATTAAATAGGCCAGTTAATCTAAAGAATGCCCCTAACAGGTTTAAAGTCATCCTCAGCATCTTTATTGCAGCAGCTGATCCTCATAGAGAGGAAATACTTTTAGCTTCATCTTCCACTATTTAAGGTTGCTGCACACATTCAGGTCTCCATCTGATGCTCCGTACTGCATTTGCCCCGTTCACCACTAGTTGGCGTCTGTGTGGACTTGGTAAAACAGGACGGAAAGAAGTAAGAAACTGTTCTCATCAAAGCTTTAGAAACAAAGTTTTACGTTTAAATTAAAAACTCTTCAGGTAGTTGAGTCGTCTGATGGACAGTGAATGTTGACCAGGCCGAGGCTAGCTGCTCAGCTTCTTGCGAGGCAGGTAGGCGTTGGTGATCTGGTTCATCGCCACCAGAGCAGGGATGAGCGGCAGCATGACCAGAACCCACCACACTCCCCCCCTCACCGTGGCCTGGAACCAGTCTGAGAACATGGCCAACATGACCGTCACAGTGGCCAGCAGGTAGACCAGCAGGCCGCAGGTGGCGTGGTACAGCTTGAGTCTGGCCAGGGAGGCGGAGAGCCGCAGCTGCTTGTGGAAGATCAGGCAGACGCCGCAGGCTGCTTGAAGCAGGGAGGCAGCCAGCGTGCAGGACCCCAGCAGGCTGTGCCACGACACCAGGTGGGGCAGCTCAGAGACGTTCTTACTGGCCACTATGAAGCCCAGGCCGACGGCGGCGGCTAACAGGGCCAGCGCCTGACACAACCAGTGGAAACGGACTTTACTCTTCCGGGACTTCAGGCAGAAGATGGTTCCCTCAGCGGAGAAGAGCAGGATCCCTTCAGTCATACACAAGCAGTACTGCAGAGAGGAGAGAGGGGGGCGGCCATGTTTAATCTGAAGCAGAAACTCTCATGTCTACATCTAGTCTAGTCAGTCCAAGTCTAACCAGTCCAGTACGAGTGCCAGCTACTTAGATGGAGGAGAGAAATGGGATCAAAATCAGAGTTTTTGTGAAATTATAGAAAAAAGCAGCAGAATTTAACGAGCTAAAAAAGGGTCATCCATCACACATCAGCTGATAATGAAATAAACCACAAAGAAATGCTGATTACAGCCGCTACAATAAACTATCCAACAACTAACTTTGAATTCAGTTTGTTTTTTTCATGCTTTTATTCTGAAGTCAACAGAGCCTGACCTGCATGACTGAAATGTTTCAAATCAAACTTTAGGTGACTAAATGTTTCCTAATGATGACCACAGGAGGCAGAATCTTCTGAGCTCTGCTTCTGAGGTTCTACAGAAATGACCCAGACATCTCGGTCCGAACACGGGGCTCAGATCAGGGTGAGGATCGTGGTTCTGGGACGATGTCTTCAGAATGTTCTGGGCTGAGCTGCTCCTGATAGAGCAGCAGGATGTCTGTTCACATCCAGAGAGACAGCCAGAGCCAAAAGTGGTATATGCCAGTATCATCAAAGGTCCTGCAAGGGCGCTAAATATCTGAATCTGGTTTTATAGACATTGGCTCTGTTCGAAATCCTGGGCTGCATCCTCCAAGGACGCGGTCTACCTGGACTGGATCCTTTCAAGTCCGTGAAAATAAGGAGACCGGAAGAGTTTAGGCTGTGAATTCAAACAGGTAACAGTAACAGATAAAAACCTTTAGATAAATCAAACATTACCGCCACATATCTGACTCTATAACCATTAAAACTACTATTTTCATTCATTTCAGTCAGAACTATTCACATACGCATAACAAGGACTCTTGGAATCCACCCAGACCTCGGCGCCGCGCTATGACGTCATCGTCCTTCGAATATGGCCTTCTAAGGACGCAGAGCATGAATTCGAACAGGGCCAATATTTTTATGCCTTCATGAAAAAGTAATATTTGTGTGTATTTGTAAATGTGTTGATAAAAAAGTAAACACATACCACCAAATCTTGTTGCGTTTGCTTTCATAATGTGACTAAATGTTGAAAAACAGCAGCATATTGTCAGTCATATGCTAACCATTAGCCTAGCCAACGTCTTTACACTTCTTCTTCGTCTCTGGTTGCAAACAGGTGATACTGCCCCCTGCTGTTAAATGTGTGGTGTATGATCCATGGAACTATAATTTTCATACATTCAGAGTTGAAATAATATTTGAAAAAAAATGGTCAAACCGGCTGAAGTCGGTCCTCAACTGGCATATGCCACTTTTGGCTCTAGGTGGTGCTGCACATTTAAACGGAGATGCTACGGAGTTCATTTTCAACCCTGAAAATAACCATAAACCCAACCGGGAACAGCGCATACCTGAACCCTAACCTAGTTTACACTCGATTTAAACGTAAAGCAAAGTACTTTGGTACAACTGGTCCTCAGTACTATGCCAAACCAGGAACCAGCTGTGTGTTTGTAGCGACCCGGTGTCGTCATGGTGAACTAATGATCCCTGACTGAAGTCATCTGCTCAGGTTTCAGAAAGCCTCGTGAAATAGGTGAAACAGTAGCTGAAGCTGTTAGCTTTCTCCTCCTCTTCCAGCATCAAATATTTACAATGGAAAGATGACAGAGACACAAAGACTCTAGATGGGGACTGACTGCTGAGTCACTGCTGAGTCACTGCTGAGTCACTGCTGAGTCACTGCTGCTCATCTACTGAAGCTATTTAAACCCCACTGGATCATCATCCAATCACCTAAGCCCGCTATGACATCATTAATGGAGAACTTTCATTATTAACCAGGTATGAGTGAATAAATGGGACCATCCTGAACACATGATCAATTCAAGACCCGGAAGTGGAATAACCAGATTTTCTGACAGTTAAACATTGATTGTCAAAATAACATTTTTAAATACCTCAAATTTAATATAAATAGAAAAAAATAAAACTTTCTGCAGGCGTGGACTTGCTGCCTCAGTAAGCAGGAGGAAGCGTTAACCTGGTCTTTCCAGTGGAAAGAGACTAATTATACCAGCAGGTATAATTAGTATATCAGCCGTTACCGGGACTCATTTCCTTCCTTTTAGGGACTTTACAAAAAGTAATTCTTAAAAACACAAAATACACTCAATCAGCAGATAATTAAATTGCTTTTTCAAGAGGAGAGATTGCTGCTTTTGTAAGCAAGCTGTACTGGAGTTGAGTATAATAGCCATGCTAACCATGTAAGGGCAGCGCTAGCCATGCTAACCATGTTGGGGCAGCAATAGCCATGCTAACCATGTAAGGGCAGTGCTAGCCATGCTAACCATGTTGGGGCAGCAATAGCCATGCTAACCTTGTAGGGGCAGTGCTAGCCATGCTAACCATGTAGGGGCAGTGCTAGCCATGCTAACCATGTAGGGGCAGCGATAGCCATGCTAACCATGTAGGGGCAGCGA